ATATATATATATACATTTTCCATGAAGCTTCCTCTTCATAAATGCTCAACATTTTTCAAATGAATTCGTATTAAAAGACTACAGCCTAAGGTCATAATTTTTGAACTTCTAAGCTGTGCAATTAATTAGAATATAATAACAATAATACTTATTGGCCGAGTGATTTAAGGACACATACACACCTTGATGGAAAAACGGAAAGCGAAAAAGCAGCAGCCAATTAGAACTCTAGCTGGTAGTCTACAATTTCGTACAACTTATTTTTTGTATTACTTACTGTCATTGCGAGTTCTGATTGGCCACTGCTTTTCCGTTTTCTGCTTTTCTGTCAAGGTGAATACACTCTAAGGTTCAAGGTGCCACCTTCTCAATTCAATATCGAGTTTGAGATTTTAAGGACTTCATAGGATCATGGGATTTGAATCCCACTTCTGACAACAATATGTGCTTTCCATTTAGCAACACAAATTGACACAAGTGTCTATCTTTGTTTTGAATGTCAAGAAAAATAGAATGATATATCAACTTGTGTCATCAAATGAAAAGCATTTGATATATATATTCTTGTGAGACTTATTGTATATTACCAGTATGGGATCTTACCTATATAGAATTCTTACAGACTGTGGTGCAGCCTTCATATGTTCACGTGTGTAGATGTATGATCCGGTACCAATCAGAGTGCCAGCCAGTAAGAAATTCGTAATGTCTTTCTTTGGGAATACTCTGAAAAAAAAAAAAAGAAATAGTACTATTTATAATTTCTCTTTTAATTCATCATTTACATTCTGCAACTCATTAAAACTTAAAATCTAAGATATATTCTTCTGTCGTAATATTCACGCAAATTGCATAGAATTACGTAATAAGAGACGACAGAAGAGAACTCGTTATCATCGTGTTAAATTAAACGAAGTGGAGCTTACTTGACGACGAGGCTCGGATTCATGACATTGATGGACATCGAAGTGTACGAGGCGGCGCCGAACGCCGGCGCATAGAACTTGGCGATGTTGCACCGTGTGACCGGTCGCAGGCCAAGCTTCTTTATAATCGTCGAGCAGCAACCGCCGCCGTTACCGCTACCCCCAGCGGCATCGCCGCCGCCGTTTCCCGGACTGGACATTTTTCCTTTGTTGTGTCGACGCGTTCTTCCGTATCGCTGGAAAATTCTTTTCCCGGAAGAATTACTACTTACTAACTGTCGCCGCACGTCAAGAATTGTCGTCTCGCGAGTACTTTGGTCGGTAACCTTCGACTCGCACGTACACATACACAGTTACATGCGCACGCACAAATCACATGCACCGCGCGCACGCGTGCTGGCGAACGTCACTGTGAAAACTGCGAAGTACGCGGCAATGCGCAGGCGTGAAAAGCAAGGCGGCCCGTCGAGTGGCGCTCCTGTTGCCATATAATAAAGTCACTAGTAAGCCTGAAATTCACTGCGCTCATCGGCATCACATATACAAATATATACAATAGCGTAACTCTCAGTCAGCACTTTTGATATTAGTGTTTCCCAAAATGGAGTGCGCGAAATAAGTAAGTTCCTCGGTAGCGCCATCTGACTTTCTTTCTCAGTTGCTCTTTATTTTTCCTCTCTCTCTCTTTCCCTCTCTCTCTCTCTCTCTCTCTCTCTCTCTCTTTCTCTCTCTCTTTCTCATTTGTACATCAAAGTTTAATCTAAATAATAATACTATATTATATATAATAAAACTAAAAGAAATAGATTTATAATTGTAATGCACTGCAAAATAAAAAAAATACAAAAATAAGAAGATAATAAAAATAAGAAGAAAAATAAGAAGAAATTATATAAATATTGTATGATACAAATATTATACTGTAAAAATATTTTAATTAACAACTGCAGCACACGATGCTTGTTTTTCTTAGATCGCTTGCGTTTTAGTAAATTATTAGAATTGCATCACATAAAATGCAAATTTTCTAACTAAAACAAAAGCAATCCAGCTGGAAAACAAACAACATACTTAAATCGTTAAAGAGAAACAGTATTTAAATAACTCTGAAAGAGAGAACGGAAAAAGAAAGAAGTGAGATAACGTTACTAGACAACTTTTTTATTTCGCACACTCCATTTTGGGAAACATAAAATCAGGAGAGTTGCGCTACTATATATACTGCCGGCACCGTTCTATCACGTGTTTAACAGCACAAAGTCGACTCTAAGTCGACTCTAAGTCGACTATAGCTTCTAGAAAAATGCGTGAAAAATGGATATCTCTAAGTTAACTTTAGACGACTTGGAAACATCTCTAAGTCATACAATATCTCACTTTAAAGACGATTGTAAGCCGATCATTTAAGTCAATTATTCTAGGCTGTGGTCCGATTCATGCCCACAACATTCATGAACAACATTCCTTGTTTAACTACAGTTAAATAAGAAGAACGAAATGATTCCACACTTTGTGAGCGTAAATCGCATTAAACGTGTTAAAGATAAAAAAAATCTAAAGGTAATAAACGTAATAAAATCGACATGAAAAGATGTTTGTACAAAATCAACTTACAGTTGACTCTAAGGGCCTGACTTAACAAAGTCAACTTACAGTCGACGTTTGTGCTATTAGAGCATGAGCAAATGATCGAATGAATTGTTAAAATTAGAAAGATAATAATTATGAGACCACTCTTAGGGTTCACACCTTGACGGAAAAGCGAAAAAGCAGCAGCCAATCAAAACTCTAATTGGTAGTTTATCAATTTCGACTTTTTGTACTACTTACTACCAGCATGAATTCTGATTGATCAGTGCTTTTCCGTTTTTTGTTTTTCCGTCAAAGTGTGAACGCGCCTTTAGGCCGGGTTCACACCTTGACGGAAAAACAGAAAACAGAAAAGCGGAAATCAATCGGAACTCGCAGTAGGCGGTTCACTTATCTGCTTCTGTCTTTCCGCGAGTTTTAATTGTCTTCCATTTTTCCGCTTTTTCGTCAAGATATAAATCCGACCTTAGGCTTATTTGACACGTTTTTATATGAAACGAAAGAATCTGGTAAAAAAAAAATGCTCTACCTTGTAATCCGAAATGTTACGCGTTAAAGTTGATGACTATTGAGATTAGGAAATCTGTTAGGAATCTGTTAGGAAATCTTACGATGATAAAATGAGGTCTATAATTGTACTGTTATACAGATTTCGATTAGTTTAGACTTTCACGTAATGCAAAAGGGCGCATGATTTCTATAATTGTACTATTGCAAAATCGAAACTCATGTGCATTTTTTTCAGATAGAATAAGCTAAAATGAACCATAAATTGAATTCGACGCATGGTGGTTCTATCATTCGGTGTAACAACAAAATAGAATAAAAAGCATAAGGGTGCAAACCTATGCAGCGGAACGTAGAACGAGAGCAGAACCAATCACGAGTGTTTCGCAGTTATCGTTAAGCGGTTTCGAATCTCTTCATTTCCATGGAGCGCAATCAACGTAAGCGGAATCAACAACAAGTCCATAAATTATGTATTTGTTATACATTTTTATTATTATATCTAAGTACAGAATTAAATGCATTTCTTGAAAATAATGATTAAAGATGTTAAAATTTATGAAATTAGTCTTAATGTGACTTTATGAAATAACGATTTATGATTGGTTGCGCAAAGTCTGCGATATGCTCATTTCGCTACTATTGGTTCACGTTTCAACATAACAAAATTGGCGGAATAAGAGAGATATTAATCGTCTTCCACGATCCTTCCTCTCTCTCATTATTGTCGACCACATTTGAATACTTAGATAGGAATTATGTAGTCCATTCTCTATATCATATTACATGAAGAATGCTCCATTCTTCATGCAATTTTAATGACAATTTATGTTTTAGTATTACTGTAGAGCATAATGTCAAAGAATAATGTCTCTATTTTTAAGTTATGTGTGTACGTAAGCGTATATGAGAGAAGTTTTGCGATTCGAAAGCCGCCTATCGAGAACCACCAATATCAATTCAAAAACCCGATTTTGACTACAGGCTTTTCAAAGCCTGATTTTTATTATAGGCTTTTCAAAGCCTAGCTCGGCCTCTTATTTTCTATACTTCATGGTTATTATTAAATATTTTTCTATAATAATTTATGTATATGGGGCATTTTTTTATCAAAAAGCCCTCCACTCGACATCCATTATGTCATTTAAGATTTTTCTCCCCCCCTTACGTTCTCTGCCCCTCAATGGTAGGGGATGCATATCCATTCCAAAAGATACATTAAAAAAAAAATCAAAACCCTTTGCCCTTTTTTTCACAATTTTTATTTTCTCGAGTTATTAACTCTAAGAGTTATTAAGATCCAAAACTTTTTTTTTTGTACAACCTATATAGCCTAAATAGGATCTCGTAATTCAAAGTCATATTACGCGTAAACGGTTAAAATTACAAAAATTACTTTTCAAATCCTAGTTCGGTCTCCTTAATCTCTATCCTCCATGGTAGCAGCATAAAAAACGTACATAATATTATATGCAGTATAGATACAGCGTATCAACACTGTATCTGTACTGCATACTTTAGGTGCATTATAATACATAACCCATATCGCATCAATACAGCGTATTATTATCAACAGGAATGAGATCTTTAATCGAAGACGATATACATGGTAACTGATATTGTGAAAGTACAGCGTATGATTTTCTAACCTGAAAATATAACATTAAGATTAAATATTAGTAAAGCGAGGAGCACTCTTTCATAACGTATAACACATAATGCACAAGAAAATGTACCAATCAAAGTCTTTCGTTTCCTTCTTTTTCATGAAAGAATTCTGATTGGTTGAATTTCTTATGCCTCGTGTTATATATGCATTATGCAAGAGTGTGCTCCGCACTTAACAGACGTTCAGTTAAACTGCACAAATTTTTATTAGGATCATATTGAACAGATGTATCATAATTATATAGATGTTCGTAGATCATCGTGAAGTGTAGCGGTTTCCATACATATGGTTTAAAAAATCAAGAATAATAGATGGCGGTATGCAATATGGATGAGGTGACCGTTTCGAAGCACTATGAAATTAATTCCCGAATTCAGGGAAAAACGTTTTTTTTTTATCATAATTTTATGATATGTATTCTGGGATAAGATATTAATCAATAATAATATTCACATAAAAATCATTTTGTTTTGATTGTGATCTAAAATTTGTTTAATATATTGTATTAATTTAGTTCAGTGTTAGTCCATTGCGTCCTAAAATGGACGTTTTTAAGAAATCCAAAATAACACTAGATATTTTTAAAATGTTTTTAAAATATCTATGGATCTAATCTTTATGTTTTTAATATGTCCAAAACGTCCAACACAAACGTTTTAAAAATATTTTTAAAACATTACGTATTATGCTGCCTAGGATATTTATATTTTCATTACAGAAATGATTTCCTTCCGCATCGATGCATGTTTCGCATCGACATCATATAAATTTCGAGAGTTCCTGAATAATAATTACATCAATAGATGGATTGGTAGAGGAGGATCTCCATTGTTTGGCCTGCACGTTCTCCCAATTTGAATTTTTTGGATTTTTATTTATGGGGACATCTTGAGACCTTCTTGTATGATATCCTTATTGTGGAAGTACTCTGAATTCGTATTATTGTTGCGTGTGAAAAAATACGAAATACTTCAAAAATTTTTGAACGTTTTCGACAATCCATGCGACGTCGATGTGAAGCATATATATCGATTCCAGCAATTTTTGTGATGAAAATATAGATGTAAGTATAAAATAAAAAAATGTTTATAACTTGGAAAGGAAGCGTTTTTGAATCCATGTTTGTAATTTTTTTCATCCTTACAATGAGGGATATGTTCTTAGAGTTTGGCCAAATATTTCTGAAACATCCTGTATATATCGTACTTTTAAATTATTTGATTTACAATTAATTGTTTTATTAATTTTACTATTTCATACTTACTTCTACGTCTTGTACATCATCGTTTTCAGATAGAATTAAGAGATTCATTTATTATTAAAATTAATACATTATCTAAAATTAATACATTTATGTAATATTTGTAAATAAATAAAATATAATTAATTTAATAATTTTACTGTCCCGTTTACTTCTATATTCTGGATATTAT